CTACACACAATACCCCAAAATGACCAAGCGAAAACAGTTTTTTTGAAAATGTTGCTAATTTTTGACAAATTAAAAACAGAAATTCTTTCTTCTTAGATATCTTATGAAGAGGAACACTTACTTTTCATCTAGTTGAAATGGCAGGATCTCAATGAAAGGAGTGATGCTATTAGGGCCGGGACAATACCAGTATCGCGATATTCAGTGGTGTAAAGTACCTAAGTAGTTTTTTGGGGTATTTGTACTTCACGTTTACTATTTATATTTTTTACTACTTTTACTTTTGCTCCACTACATTCCTAAAGAAAATAATGTACTTTTTACTCATTACATTTCGAATACTTAGCAGGACAGGAAAATGGTCAAATTTACGCACTTATCAAGAGAACATCCCTGGTCATCCCTACTGCCTCTGATCTGGCGGACTCACTAAACACAAATGCTTTGTTTGTAAATTATGTCTGAGTGTTGGAGTGTGCCCCTGGCTATCCGTAAATAACAAGAAAATTGTGCCGTCTGGTTTGCTTAATAGAAGGGATGTGATACTTACTTTTGATACTTCAGTATATTTTAGTAGTTACATTTACTTCTGATACGTACGTATATTTAAAACCAAGTACTTTTAGACTATTACTCAAGTACTATTGTACTGTGTGACTTTCACTTTTACTTGAGTAATTTTCCATTAAAGTATCTTTACTTTTACTCAACTATGACAATTGGGTACTTTTCCCACCACTGGCGATATGTTTTCCATGGCAAAATTAAAAACACTAAGTAGATCAAACTCTTTGGTCCTTTAAAAACCTGCTGTATGTAAAACATTGTGTGATTTACAGTGAGAGAAAAAAGTATTTGATCACCTGCTGATTTTGTACGTTTGTCCACTGACAAAGAAATGATCAGTCTATAATTTTAATGGTAGGTTTATTTGAACAGTGAGAGACAGAATAACAACAAAAAAATCCAGAAAAACGCATGTCAAAAATGTTATAAATTGATTTGGATTTTAATGAGGGAAATACGTATTTGACCCCCTCTCAATCAGAAAGATTTCTGGCTCCCAGGTGCGGTTATTCGCAAATGGAAGAAACACAAAAGACCTGTCAATCTCCCTCGGCCTGGGGCTCCATGCAATATCTCACCTGGTGGAGTTGCAATGATCATGAGAACGGTGAGGAATCAGCCCAGAACTACACGGGAGGATCTTGTCAATGATCTCAAGGCAGCTGGGACCATAGTCACCAAGAAAACAATTGGTAACACACTACGCCGTGAAGGACTGAAATCCTACAGTGCCTACAAGGTCCCCCTGCTCAAGAAAGCACATATACAGGGCCGTCTTTTGCCAATGAACATCTGAATGATTCAGAGGAGAACTGGGTGAAAGTGTTGTGGTTAGATGAGACCAAAACACTCGCCGTGTTTGGAGGAGGAGGAATGCTGCCTATGACCATAAGAACACCATCCCCACCGTCAAACATGGAGGTGGAAACATTATGCTTTGGGGGTGTTTTTCTGCTAAGGGGACAGGACAACTTCACCGCATCAAAGGGACGATGGACGGGGCCATGTACCATCACATCTTGGGTGAGAACCTCCTTCCCTCAGCCAGGGCATTGAAAATGGGTCGTGGATGGGTATTCCAGCATGACAATGACCCAAAACACACAGCCAAGGCAACAAAGGAGTGGCTCAAGAAGAAGCACATTAAGGTCCTGGAGTGGCCTAGCCAGTCTCCAGACCTTAATCCATTAGAAAATCTGTGGAGGGAGCTGAAGGTTCGAGTTGCCAAACGTCAGCCTCGAAACCTTAATGACTTGGAGAAGATCTGCAGAGAGGAGTGGGACAAAATCCCTCCTGAGATATGTGCAAACCTGGTGGCCAACTACTATGTTTTGCAGAGGGGTCAAATATTTATTTCCCTCATTAAAATGCAAATCAATTTATAACATTTTTGACATGCGTTTTTCTGGATTTTTTTGTTGTTATTCTGTCTCTCACTGTTCAAATAAACCTACCATTAAAATTATAGACTGATCATGTCTTTGTCAGTGGGCAAACGTACAAAATCAGCAGGGGATCAAAAACTTTTTTCCCTCACTGTAGCTTGGGAAATAAATAAATGTGATTCTGGATGACAACACAATGATGTTTGTTTCCAACATTAGGGCTGTTTTCCTAAAGAAGTTAAATCCGCTTTGTGTTTTGTTTCCTTGCCACCATACTAACGAGTATCATGATACTAGTATCGTCCCAGCCCTAGATGCTATCTCAGCATTCAAGCTTCTTCTATTGTAGAACGATAAGTCAAGACAGCAGTCGCGTTGTTCCTGGATTGGGTGACTTCTTTAGATGTGTGTTTTGTTTCATGTTTGGGTGATGTTGCGATTTATTGTAATGAACCACTGCTGTGTGCCTTCATTCAGCTGGCTATGTTTTCTCTGTGCTAGTAAATAATTGCTATCTATATAAAGTGGAGAAAACATGAACTTCAATCAATATGCTTGATATAATGTCTTGTCATAGTATTGTATGAACAAAGTTAAATCTGTTAGATAGGTAACTCTTGGAGCCACAGTCTGAATGCTAAGCATTCCAGTATGTCGAGGGAGGTTACTGGGGTTTATCTTAGAATGATTGATATATAGAATATACTGACTTGGGTACAGGGTGATACCATCAGAGTGGGGGGTGCCAATTGATGGTTACCAAATGTTGTTGAAGAAACGTGTAACATGAAGTATATAAACTGAGACATTTCCTTTGTCTAGTGTTCGGATGACAAGAGGCAAAGCGCGTGCCGTTTGTTATACGAACCTGGTACCGTAATCAATTAAATACTTTGCATCAACTCTCCATCTAAGTGTTAAATATCTTCTTGCATCATGAATTACTTGATACTAGAGAAACTCGTATTGGCGTCTAAATGAACAGGATGCAGTTTTCAGCCGAACTGACAGGTAAGCAGACTTTAATTTTTTTGATTATGTCAAATTCTGCTTATCTGTGGTAAAGCTGAGCTGTAATGGACGTTTAAAATTCTATATTTTTTTTAGGGGAATCGATGAGTGGTTTTCAAGTACGTAAACAGATATAAGGAGAAATATCAAATTAGACAATGACATGGTGCTATGATTCTAAACAGGGTTTGTTCATATTAGTGAGTAAAGACTACAGAGGATAAAGATAAATGTTTGAGTCCTTTAATGTGAAAAGTTGAGGTTCAAGTCCTCAGCAAACTTAGGGATAAAGGTTAGAGTTCTTTGTTATGAGGTTCAAGTCCTGAACAACATTTGTTAAAAGTTGTAGTCATATTGTTACAGCTTTGAGTCCTTGGATGTTTATAAACATCATAAAGAATGGGTTTGAGGCCTATGTTCAGTCCTCTGAGAGTTAGAGTACCTTGGTCAAGGGATAATTACTCCTTTGTGAATTACTCAAAACGGCCAGGAGAGATAGCAGATACAATGAGCATGTTGAATCATGGCACCAATGACAAAACAGGCAAACAAAATTTTGTTGGGGATTTGATTCAAATATTTAATTACTAACATTGCATGAACTAAAAGGAGCAATGGGGAGTCAACATAATTAGGTCATAGAAGATCATGGAGTGGTATTGAGCATGGAATGGTGTTTTACAAAGTAGTAGAAAGTCTGTATTTTCTGGGAGGATCCCTTGACAGGCAGTGCAGTGTCCTGGAAAATACAGTCTGTTTTTTGGTTCCGCTGGGAGGATGTTTGTAGAAGTTGATTTGTGTCGATTGAGAATCGCTTAAAAAAGAAGGGGTTGTTTGTTGTGAGTACCTAGGAGTTCTAACGTTCTAGGTGGATTATGTGAATATATGAAAATATGATGAATTTTATGTGTTTAAGGAATTACTAGAGATTTGATGAAGTAATAATTGGAATATTATTAGTATACAATACGATAACCCCAAAACATAGACGTACGTTGGGTGTGAGAAACAGTAAATAAACGTTTTTGGAGTTAGTGCTATTGATGGATCATGTGATAGAGATAAGGTTTAAGGAATAAACTGCCCATAAGGACTGGAATTTTTAGACATAACTTATAACATAGTACAAAGCCAATTCAGCGATTCAATTAAATATATTATAATTGAGGAGCTATGTTGAGGAAGTGAAGGAATTTGATTATGGATCAGATGTTAAGACGACAAACCATTGTAATCGGGCTATTTGCGGGATTTCTTTGTTATTTCAATAGCAGTGGGTCAATGGTATAGAGCAGGGTTCCCCAATTAGATTTCCAAAAGGGCCAAATTTGGTCAGGTATGCCAAGCCGAGGGCCAACATGTTTGTTTTTTTGGCGACAGTTTTATGTTTTATCAGTTTTCACTTCTATTGTGATTTTATAATTATTAGTAGTGGTGTTAAGAATCACATAAGAGAAAAATGAAAAATACTAAATTAGTCCAAAACCAACTATTTAATTATGAAATGCCCCTGGAGCATATTCTGTGCAAACAGTCAGCAAACAAAAAGTCCAGCAAACACATTCACACACACACACACACACACACACACACAGCGCCCACTTCTGTCTGGAACACCCATGCTTTGGATATCTGTGTTCAGGCTGTCTTTCTAAGAGAAGAGACAGAAGGACAAACACAGACAGACAGAGATTTTTAGTTTTTCAAATGTGTTATCAGAATATGCCACATTAGTTTTTAAACTTTTAAAATATGTGAACCAAATAATATCAAGCTGTTAACAACCAAAAGTGTTTGATATTAATGTGACAATATAATTAATTAGCTTTTATTTGTGTATTCTTTTTTTATTGCTGTGTATTAAGTTTTAAATTTTACTAACTAGTTGGATGCCATTTACTTTTATTTAAGCTGTGTAGCATATTTAGTAGGAAACATGCTATTAAATATGAAATGGTTATTTCGTTGTAATAATTATTATACCACAAGAAGATTGAAAAATAGCAAAAAAATAATTGGATCTGGTTCACTCACCAATCAGTGAGAGAAGTGAGAGCGACGGGATGAGGCAACCTTTCTGATGTCAGGCTTGTATTCTGTTGTGGCAATCCTGAGGCACTGTCCAAGATGTGAATCTGAGAGTCTGTTTCTGTCCTGGCTCTTGATAGCATTCATTGAAGGAAATGCTGATTCACAGATGTACGTTGAGGGAAACATCGTGAGTAGGAGCATTGCAATATCTCTGGTGTTTTTAAAACGAGCTTGGGGAACCACGTTGATCCAAAAGTCACTCACCAGTGCATCCTTGTGTTGAGCTTTGAGCAAATCAGATGTTCCCATCTCCAAGATTTCCATCTGAAGAGCAGCCTCATCTATGGAAGGCACCAGCTTTTTGGCCTCTGCAGTCCACTGGCCGTCAGCTGACACAGAAAACGGCTGTCTTACGAAGAGAAGGATGTCAGCTGAGAGTTTAAGGGAGCTTTCAAATCTTTCCTTGAAGTTTTCTGCCAGCCTGGACACAAAATCCTTCATTGCTGGATCTTCCTGCATTTTATTCTTCTCACAATGCTCACGCAGACGTGGAAAGTGCAACTTTCTCCCATGAATGTCTCTCTCCAGGAGGTGCAGCTTTGACCGGAAAGCTTCAATCGTCTCATACATGTCAGCAACAGTGTGGTTCTTGCCTTGTAGTCGCAGGTTAAGGTGATTTAGATGAGACATGATTTCACACAAAATAGTAACATCTGATATCACCTTGTTGTCAGTTAAAAAGCTCAAAAAGTTGCTGGCTTTTTGGCTCTGCAGGCTGGATAAAAATGACACAAGTTCATCACGCAGGTCACACACCCTCTCCAACACACGGCCTTTGCTCAGCCAGCGAACGTCATTGTGGAGCAAAATATCCTTTTGTTCAGCTGACATTTCCTCGAGTAAGGCTCTAAAAAGGCGATGCTGCAGACTAGAGCTCTCACGGACAATGTTAACTAGTCAAGTCACAGTATCCATGGTCTCTTTCATTTTTCCACACAGCTAGTCGAGTGGAGACGAGTACGCAAAGCGCGCGAAGCACGTCTTACGTATGCACGCGGTAAAAGCCACAGGTCAAGGTGTGGGATAATTTCAAAATAAACCAGAGCCGCGGATATTAAATTCATGTTTATTAGAACAAGTGAATGCCAATGCTGTCAGTGTGGGCCAGACATTTTGCTCTTGCGGGGCGGATCTGGCCCGCGGGCCGCTTATTGGGGTTGGCTGGTATAGAGTAAAATCTGGGTTTCTGAGTGTAAGTCAACTGTTGGTATGTTTTTCTGAGACAGATACTGCAGCCAGTGTTTGGTTTGGTGATGTAGAATGGACGATATAGCAGCGTGCTTGTTTCAAATTGAAAGAATCATTTATGCCATCGGAATAGCGAGACAATGTCGAGGTAGTCATTTTTTGAGTTGCCTAAATGGTTTGCTAGCTTAAACTACTGTGAATGGAGTCGTAATTTAACTAACTAAATTGAATATGAATATTATGGATACAAATTGAATGTATGCTTGTCAACTACAGCAAGTGTTTGGTTTGTTACCTGTAGCCTAATCATAAAGGACAGTTACCTAGACCTGCTTACTTCTAATAATGGTGGATTGGTGGTTTCATTAGAGCTGTGGCTATGATCTTAGTTGATAACAGGGGGAAATAAGGGTATAGTGCCGGAGCACAGGAAGCGAGTGTGTTTTCTTAATATGAAGTGAAGCAAGGGGACAAAGAGAATAAAAACAGTATAAAAAAAACTCCAGGGATAAAAAAGCAGTGTTGGAAGAAGCAGAGTATGAAATATACTATTAACTGAGGAATTTAGAAACTTTTAGCTGAGATCACTACAGAAATATTACTGACCCAATATCCTAACAGAGACACTGAACCAAAACATGAAGCTACAACAGCAATCTAGGATTGTGAAAGTTGTCCACTTAGTTTTTTAACCCTACGATAGAGGTAAATGCAGAACGCTGTTTGAGAATGGGTTTTATTTTTGTCTACTAGTAAGAATGGAAGAGTTCCATGTTTTGTCTGCGGGTGTTAGCGACTGGGGCTCCCTGAACTCGAGCGGGCTGTAAGGGACATAATGGGTTAAGTTTGGTGTAGTGGGATCAGTGGTTGCTGCGGAAAAGGAGGAAGTCAAAGGGGGGTGAGTGTAACCGGTGTTAACTAGTAGCGGTGCGAACTAGTAGCGTTTCGATTGGTGACGTAACTCGCTCTGAGACCTTGAAGTAGTTGTTTGCCTTGCTCTGTACACCAGTGAGTTATGTAGACAGTTAATTAATTCTAAAAACGATAATCTGATGGGGAATTACCAATTTATGTAGGTTCTGGATTTATTAAACAATAGGTTTATATTTCAATACATCAATGCAACAGGTTGCAATAATTACATTACCGGAAAGGGGTTATAGGTTTATATTAGAAGGTGTAGTCAACTTAATGAAACGTGGTATTATCTAATGTGTTTTGAGTTTTTTTTCCAGGATTGATGGAAGGCCCATACAGTATATGTTAAGGGAAAAAGTAGGAGACAACGTCTCAAAGAACTTTTTTAATAGATGCCTGGGATAAAATATCACGGCTTCCTTACGCAGAGTAATTTATTATATTGGCGAATGAATAAAATATGACATTTAGAGGGGTGACAGGAACAATATAAGGGGAAACAGATATTTCCTATGTTGTTGATCAAGTAACGATACTAGGATAATTTGATATGGGATCAAATGGAGCCGATTTTGGGGTTGAATAATCATTGTGAAAATTACAGAGGATGAAGTCTAAAGGGTAATCAATTAAAAATACTCATTGTAAACTCAGAGACACTTGAGTGGTTTTCATCTTTTGAGATATTTTATGTAATCTTCTTCTGGAGTAGTTATGAGGAATTAGATAGTTTCAATTATTGATGTGAGGTAGGACAGTGTATATCTGCATCATGTTTTGTGTGTAATTACTATTTTTGGATTGCTGATTATAACTGAATGTTAACAAAATGTATACTTTCTCTTCCAGGAGAATGGGGATTTCCTCATCTCTCATTGGAATGTTTCCCAAGTCCGTGGGCTGGGGGGAGCAGTTAGTAAAATTTGGCAGTCTTATAATTAGGCTGTAAAAGGGAGCTACCAAATTAAATAAGGCCTGGACATTTTTGTTTGTTGTTTTACTATATGTTTTATTTAGGGGGGGTTCATGGGTTGGAGATGATAAGTCTTAAAGGGGCACACAGCATTTTCAGACGTTTTTGTTTTCTGAGTAAGTTTTGGGTAAACACATGATTTATTTTGAGAAGAAATGTAATGAGGACTTACTGTACACTTGGGATACACAATTTATGAAATGTTTTGACTGTTGTTAATAATTAGTCTACTATAGGGTGAAACACTTATTTGAAGGGTTTGAATGACCTCTGACCTCTGTCCTGACTTTCTAGTGTGATTTGATCACCCACACTGGAAAACCGAGAGACATAGGATGAGGAATTGAAGGTGATTTATTATACTGATAATTAGGAAGAAGTTTATATTTTAGCAATAATCGTATATATGATTTGGACCATGACAAAGACAGAGAGAGAGTGCTAGCCCTGAATGAGGGATACCTGTTGCTAGTCGATTTGACTATTCTTGAATTACCTTATGGGATACATTGAAGTTAAGGTATTATCAAAGGTTGTCATTTTAATTCCATTTATTATTTTGGTAAATATGCAAATTGTATTAAGAATATGAGCAGTAGTAATTAATGTGTTATGAGTTAGAAAAATGTGTATTTGTGGTAGGAGGCAGGGTGTAGAGGAGGCCTGTGTCTGAAACTAGTGGACTACAACGAGCTGTAAGAATGTGCACTTCCTAATCTCAAGGCTTCTCCTGACTGATGAGAATACATGGTACAGTAGCATACTGTGTATCACCTAACAATGTTTTTACTTTCTTCCCATGGGTGAAGGCAACTCTGCCCAACCTAACAGAAGAATCTGGGCATTTTCTGCACCCTGGAGCCTTTGTGGCAGGAAAGGATTACATAAGTAAAAGCTGGACAGACTCTAGGTGGGGAGGTCAGTAATAGGTGTTGCTGGCTACCTCGATGGAGGGGGAAGTAGCAGAGACAGATGCCTAGATCCAGGTGTCTCACTGTAGGAGTGTTCCAACTCCAGAAGAGGAAGATGGCATCGCCACTACGGAGCATTGTTTTATTTTGTGTCTGTCTGTGTCTGTGTGTCTTTGCAGCAGTGACTCTCAGCTTCCCTACTGCTATGCTGCAAGAAGGATACACTCCACAGATCGATGTTGATGGATTGACAGGGACTCTGAAGAACGGTATGAACCTCAAAACCCCTCTAAACCGGCTGAAGATGAGCATCAGAGGCATTGAAGACGTTCCTTTACAGCAACACTTCTACCAGCAACCGATGTACAGCATCCAATCGAAGCTATCAACAGTCTTTTATCTCATGCTTTTCTCACGGGAGTGTGACAGGAGTCCATGTGGAGTGGGAATGGAGAGAGATCCATTAAATACAACATTTCTCATGTTGTTGGTATACTGGTTGGAAAATGGACGAGACAAAATGGGGGGTAGAGATGGTAGCTGCTCGGATGAGACATTGAAATTGGGAAATTGTTATGGGCAATTCAAGTTGAAATATGAAGCTGTCTGAAGAACATAATGAAGGGATGCCAGAAGATTAAGTGCTGGGGAAGGACGGGGTTGGTCAGCTGTATCCATAATTAATTTGGACTTCTCTAAATTTGATAATTTGGGTATGAGGTTGATGTAGAAGGTATATACACTATTAAATGTATAGTAATTTGGACTAAGAATGCATTGTGATAATGATCTGTAGTTATTCTCATGATGAGGAAGGTAATACTAGAATTATGGATAGTTATACGGTATGATAATATAAATGTACATTCTGCCAGTCTCATGGGTGCTAAGTTGAGGGTTTTAACTTTGAGTGATAGGACCAATGTGAATCACTAAGAATTGTCATCCTAAATTTGTGTTGGATAATTAATTTGATTTTGGTTATGATTTATAAGATGACTGAGTGATTTAAGTAAGTTGACACTGCAATTAATATATTAGTTATTGGTATTGATTCTTTTGATTGTTATACTAATTGTGATATGGGTAAAGAAGTTATGTGAGCTAAAGATGTTGAAACTATTCTCAGCATGCCCTGGTAGTGCTGGTACAATCGCAAGATAAATGTCTTAAATATATATTATGGTTAAAACAATGCTACATTAGTTTTAAGGTGTTAGGATACACTTATATTATTTATTTCGAGTAGACAATTTTGAATATTACTGTTTGGAAGATAAGGTTGATGCAAGTGTGCCTTATATCAGGAACATGTTGAACAGAGTTCAGACTAAACATGGTACTTAGTAACAGTATTGGGTTTTCAAGCAATTGGGTCTGAAAGGGCACTCATCAGACAATATGGAATTGATACTCGCATAGCATTGGACGGTATTACAGAAGCTAAAGGGGCGTGTGTGCAATTGTAGGAGGAGAAACATGTTGGGCATACTTGCCATCAGAACAGGAAGATCTGGGGAATTTAACAAAAACTATGGGAAATATTAGAGAAATACAGGATGAAATAAGGAATACGAATAGGGATGCAAAAATATTAGGGGGATATAGCAATTTCAACGCTGTTTAAGTATTTTCAAGGTTTCTTAGTGATAAGCCAATATGAACATGGATGGCAAGCATTCTATGTCCTTTAGTGGCATATTTGGGGGATTGATTTTGAGATCTGTACAAATGATTACTAACATGCCAGTGATTACAGCTAGACAATGTATCAGTCAATATTAATGCAAGGAGGGAAAGTACAAATTCTATATCTATATCATCTTATTCAAGTGTAGAGACCATTGATATTGTTGATTGAGGATTTGGGAATGTGATGTGGGAATTGTATAACGTTGAATATAAGGTTTACAGGATTGAAAATGTGGAAACGGGACTACTTCAGTTGATCAGATAGCATCCCAAGTGACCAGAGAAAATCTTGGGGTTCCTCAAAATGAATCAAGAAAATGAAGACTTATTTTTATTGGGATATATTAATCTACCTACAGGGAGGGAAAAAAGTATTTGATCCCCTGCTGATTTTGTACGTTTGCCCACTGACAAAGACATGATCAGTCTATAATTTTAATGTTAGGTTTATTTAAACAGTGAGAGACAGAATAACAACAAAAAAATCAGAATAATAAATGTCAAAAATGTTATCAGTTGATTAGCAATTTAATGAGGGAAATAAGTATTTGACCCCTCTGCAAAACATTACTTACCCTTGTTTACCCTTGATTACCCTTGTTGGCAATCACAGCGGTCAGACGTTTCTTGTAGTTGGCCACCAGGTTGGCTGACGTTTGGCAACTCGAACCTTCAGCTCTCTCCACAGATTTTCTATGGGATTAAGGTCTGGAGACTGGCTAGGCCACTCCAGGACCTTAATGTGCTTCTTCTTGAGCCACTCCTTTGTTGCCTTGGCCGAGTGTTTTGGGTCATTGTCATGCTGGAATACCCATCCACGACCCATTTTCAATGCCCTGGCTGAGGGAAGGAGGTTCTCACCCATGATTTGATGGTAAATGGCCCTGTCCATCGTCCCTTTGATGCGGTGAAGTTGTCCTGTCCCCTTAGCAGAAAAACACCCCCAAAGTATAATGTTTCAACCTCCATGTTTGACGGTGGGTATGGTGTTCTTGGGATCAAAGGCAGCATTCCTCTTCCTCCAAACACGGCGAGTTGAGTTGATGCCAAAGAGCTCGATTTTGGTCTCATCTGACCACAACACTTTCACCCAGTTCTCCTCTGAATCATTCAGATGTTCACTGGAAAACTTTAGATGGCCCTGTATATGTGCTTTCTTGAGCAGGGGGACCTTGCGGGCGCTGCAGGATTTCAGTCCTTCACGGCGTATTGTATTACCAATTGTTTTCTTGGTGACTATGGTCCCATCTGCCTTGAGATCATTGACAAGATCCTCCCGTGTAGTTCTGGGCTGATTCCTCACCGTTCTCATGATCATTGCAACTCCACGAGGTGAGATCTTGCATGGAGCCCCAGGCCGAGGGAGATTGACAGTTCTTTTGTGTTTCTTCCATTTGCGAATAATCACACCAACTGTTGTCACCTTCTCACCAAGCTGCTTGGCGATGGTCTTGTAGCCCATTCCAGCCTTGTGTAGGTCTACAATCTTGTCCCTGACATCCTTGGAGAGCTCTTTGGTCTTGGCCATGGTGGAGAGTTTGGAATCTGATTGATTGATTGCTTCTGTGGACAGATGTCTTTTATACAGGTATCAAGCTGAGATTAGGAGCACTCCCTTTAAGTGTGTGCTCCTAATCTCAGCTCGTTACCTGTATAAAAGACACCTGGGAGCCATAAATCTTTCTGATTGAGAGGGGGTCAAATACTTATTTCCCTCATTAAAATGCAAATCAATTTATAACATTTTTGACATGCGTTATTCTGAATTTTTTTGTTGTCATTCTGTCTCTCACTGTTCAAATAAACCTACCATTAAAATTATAGACTGATCATGTCTTTGTCAGTGGACAAACATACAAAATCAGCAGGGGATCAAATACTTTTTTCCCTCACTGTATATTGTAGTTTACATGTAACTTAGAAATTGTTAGGAGGCAATGTATTTTCTTGGATGGCATGATGTTCAACATTCATTTTATGTATGTTATTCTTGTATGGTCTATGTGGGATTTGTCCTTATGTATAATTGAGGTTTTGCCTACATAGATACAGTTGAAGTTGGAAGTTTACATAAACCTTAGCCAAATACATTTAAACTCAATTCCTGACATTTAATCCTAGTAAAATTCCCTGTTTTAGGTCATTTAGGATAACCACTTTATTTCAGCTTTTATTTATTTCATCACATTCCCAGTGGGTCAGAAGTTTACATACACTCAATTAGTATTGGGTAGCATTGCCTTTAAATTGTTTAACTTGGGTCAAACGTTTCGGGTAGCCTTCCACAAGCTTCCCAAAATAAGTTGCATGAATTTTGGCCTATTCCTCCTGACAGAGCTTCTGTAACTGAATCAGGTTTGTAGGCCTCCTTGCTCACACACGCTTTTTTGGTTCTGCCCACACATTTTCTATAGGATTGAGGTCAGGGCTTTGTGATGGCCACACCAATATCTTAAGCCATCTTGGCACAACTTTGGAAGTATGCTTGGGGTCATTGTCCATTTGAAAGACCCATTTGCGACCAAGCTTTAACTTCCTGACTGATGTCTTGAGATGTTGCTTTAATATATCCACATAATTGTCCTTCCTCATGATGCCATCTATTTTGTGAAGTGCACCAGTCCCTCCTGCAGCAAAGCACCCCCACAGCATGATGCTGCCACCCCCGTGCTTGACGGCTGGGATGGTGTTCTTCGGCTTGCAATTGCCCCCTTTTTCCTCCAAACATAACGGTGGTCATTATGGCCAAACAGTTCTATTTTTGTTTCATCAGACCAGAGGACATTTCTCCAAAAAGTACGATCTTTGTCCCCATGTGCAGTTGCAAACCGTATTCTGGCTTTTTTATGGTGGTTTTGGAGCAGTGGATTCTTCCTTGCTGAGCGGCCTTTCAGGTTATGTCGATATAGGACTCATTTTACTGTGGATATAGATACTTTTGTACCTGTTTCCTCCAGCATATTCCCAAGGTCCTTTGCTGTTGTTCTGGGATTGATTTGCACTTTTCGCACCAAAGTACGTTCATCTCAAGGAGACAAAATGCGTCTCCTTTCTGAGCGTTATGATGGCTGCGTGGTCCCATGGTGTTTATACTTGCGTACTATTGTTTGTACAGATGAACGTGGTACCTTCAGGCATTTGAAAATTGCTCCCAAGGATGAACCAGACTTGTGGAGGTCTACGATTGCTTTTGATTTTCCCATGATGTCAAGCAAAGAGGCACTGAGTGTGAAGGTAGGCCTTGAAATACATCCACAGGTACACCTCCAATTGACTCAAATGATGTCAATTAGCCTATCAGAAGCTTCTAAAGCCATGACATAATTTTTGTAATTTTCCAAGCTGTTTAAAGGCACAGTCAACTTAGTGTATGTAAACAGTGAATTATAAGTGAAATAATCTGTCTGTAAACAATTGTTGGAAAAATTACTTGTGTCATGCACAAAATAGATGTCCTAACCGACTTGCCAAAACTATAGTTTGTTAACAAGACATTTGTGGAGTGGTTGGAAAACGAGTTTTAATGACTCCAACCTAAGTGTGTATAAACTTGGGACTTCAACTGTAGTAAGCGTGAATATAGTAGTTAATCATGTATCGATATTTTACTCAAACTGAGTCCATAGAGGTTTGAGAGGTTTGATTGTGCATGAGCTACTGAGAATGTATACCTTTGTTGATTAAATATATTGAGAATCTGGTTGGATTCAGGGATAGAAAGTAGAGGGGGATGAATTCTCAGGTATCTAGCATAGTTTATCTATACTACTGATTGGGGAACATTTTAGTTGATCTGAAGTTGTATGTGACTTGTTGGGTTTAGGTAAGGTTAGACAAGGGGAATTTTACATACAACAAAATAAAAATAAATGGAGGGTTGATATAACAAAGTTAAATTTGTTAGATAGGTAACTCTTGGGGCCACAGAGTCTGAATGCTAAGGATTTCAGTATGTCAAGGGAGCTTACTTGGGTTTATCTTAGAATGATTGATAGAATATACTGACTTGGGTACAGGGTGATACCATCAGAGTGAGGGGTGCCCACTGATGGTTACCAGATGTTGTTGAAGAAACGTTTAACATGAAGTATATAAATAGATATTTCCTTTGTCCAGTGTTCGGATGACAAGAGGCAAAGCACATGCCGTTAGTTATACGAACCCGGTACCGTAATCAATTAAATACTTTGCATCAACTCTCCATCTAAGTGTTAAATTACTTCTTGCATCACGAATTACTTGACACCAGAGAAACTCATCATAACAATGCTGTACATGTAGGCTTAGCTACATACAGTTCAGCTGCACATGTGGTTGTAGATTTGCCACACTATAGTAAAGTTGTATTTGTGGCTTGCCTGTTTTCCTTGGTCCTCTGATGATATATCTGTGCTGTGGAGGGCTGAAGTGTCTGTGTGAGTCAGCCAGTGTTATGTGAGGCCTGACAGGTTGAGACACCGTAGGGGAGACCATTAGGCCTACACGAGGAATGGGGACTGATAGGCAGCTGACAGAGGTTCACGTGGGGAAGGCCAGGACAATGACCAGGGGACAGCATGCAACATACACTCAGCCATGTCTGATTCAGTTCTTTCTCTGACTTTCTCTCTCATCTGACTCTGTCTAAATCCTCGCATCTGACCCTCATTTTTGCCAGTTTATCTGACTCCTCTCTCTATCTCTTTCCCTTTCTCTCTCAGATTCTAACTCTTCTCATTTTCTGTCTCTCTACTCTATCTTTATAATAATATAATATGCCATTTAGCAGACGCTTTTATCCAAAGCGACTTACAGTCATGTGTGCATACATTTCTACGTATGGGTGGTCCTGGGGATCGAACCCACTACCCTGGCGTTACAAGCGCCATGCTCTAACAATTGAGCTACAAAGGACCACAGGGTTATCTTTCTCTTTGTTTCCTACTTCTCCATCTCTGTCTGTCTGTTTGTCTCTGTCGGTATCTGGGTTCAGTCTCAGCCACTGTGATATGAGCTGCTGTTCTCAGCCACTGTGATATGAGCTGCTGTTCTCAGCCACAGTGATATGAGCTGCTTTGTCAGCGGAGAGAACTGTGCCTCGAAGCAGCTGCCAGCAAATGGGCACACCACATCCCTCACTCTACTGCCTTTCTGTCTTTCCTTGTCTCTTCTCATGTTTTATATTCATTTTCTCAGTTAGACAATCATACAGTGGATATATGGCGGATTTAGTTTATTCTCTAGCTGAGGTTGGGTTTGAGATTGAGGTTATATATGTTCTATGATTACAGTATTGTCAACTGATAGGTGTGGGACTTGTTGGAATGAAAGTTGAGGTGGTGCGAGACAGAGGTGTTTCTGTGAAATTCATAGCTCCCTTAATATATAATATTTATGCCGAGTAGAATAGTCCTTATTCCATCATCTGCCATCTGTTCAAATCCTTTCACATCATGAGTCGGATGAAAATACACTGAACAAAATATAAATGCTACATGCAACAATTTTAAAGATTTTACTGAGTTACAGTTCATATAAGGAAATCAGTCAATTGAGATAAATTCATTAGGCTCTAATCTATGGATTTCACATGACTGGGAATACAAATATGCATCTGTTGGTCACAGATACCTTAAAAAAAGTAGGGCCGTGGATCAGGAAACCAGTCAGTATCTGGTGTGACCACCATCTGCTTAATGCAGCGCGACACATCGCCTTCACATAGAGTATATTTTAGCAATTACATTTACTTTTGATACTTGAGTATATTTAAAACCAAATACTGTAAGGGTTGGTGTGAGGTGTGACACAAGTGCAGTGCAGGTTAGACAGTAGGCAGAGATGGTGAAACAAGAAACTTTACTGATTGTCCCGAAGCCAGGATACAAAATAATGGACTTTACACGAAAAAGAAAGGTGGAGCAAATAAGACTCCAAAAGACAGGCAGACAGCCAAAAATATGAAATACTAACTATGACCGAAATAATAAATGAACAGGGAGAACACTTCTCACGTACCTGTCCATACGTCCTGCGATCAGACACTGATTAGTACTGCTTGGCATAATGAAACTAGCAGAAAAAACAGAGCAAGGGAACACAGGGAATTGAGGGCATAAATACACAGGTGAACAGGTAGACACAGGTGACACCAATAGGATCATGATTAGTCCAGACAGAAGCTGTCCCTCCTGTAACAGTGGCCCGACGAACTGGAGGGACAGCTTCCTGGACTCCACGCGGAGGGGAAGATCCCGCGTGGAGAGCCACACCCTCTGTCCCGGGCGAAAGACCAGGGCCGTGCGATGCCTGCAGTTGGCCTGATGTTGAAACCTGACCGAGGCCCGCTTAAGTGCAGTCCGTACCTGCCTCCAGGTGCGGCGACAGCGACTGATGTGGGCCTGGACCAACGGGACCGCCTCCTCCTCCTCTTGCTTAGCGAACAGGGGTGGGGTTGGTATCCGTATTAGCACTAGAAGGGGGACAGGCCGGTGGACAAGCAGAGAAGGGTGTTGTGGGCGTACTCCGCCCACGGCAGTCACTGACTCCACGTAGCTGGGTTGCTGGAGGCGTAGCACCTCAGCACCCCCTCCAGATCCTGGTTGACGCCCTCCGTCTGCCCGTTTGACTGGGGATGGAAGCCGGAAGACAAGCTGACGGAGGTGCCGAGGCAGGTGGCGAATGCCTTCCAGAACCTGGAGGCGAACTGAGGGCCCCGATCCGACACCACAACTTGGGGAAGGCCATGGAGCCGTAAAACGTGCTGCAACACCAACTTAGCCGTCTCCCGGGCCGAAGGGAGTTTGGGAAGGGGAATGAAGTGGGCAGCCTTCGAGAACTGGTCCACCATGACCAGGATGACTGTATCCATCAGAGGGGGGAAGGGCGGAAATGAAATCCAGCGAGATGTGGGACCAGGGGCGCTTAGGGATAGGCACAGGTCGGAGCAGCCCTTCCGCGGGCTGACTTGAGCTCTTTGTGTGCGCTCACACCGGGCAAGCTGCCACGAAGGTGTGCGTATCCCCCTCAGCAGATGGCCACCAGAACTTCCTACACAGGAACTACAATGTCCTGGCGCCACCCGGATGGCTGGTGAGGTCGGACGCGTGTGCCCACTGAAGCAGTCGCGAGCGCACAGCCTTGGGTACGTACATCCTCCCGATAAACCTTCGCCCGGATCGGGCTCCCGCCGTAGCGCTGCTCTGACCAGCCTATCAATTCCCCACGAAACTGGGGCAGCAATCAGGGCGTTGGGGACAATGGAGTCGTCCCTCTCCACCAGGTCCACGGGGTTGAGCTGCCAGGAGAGCGCGTCAGGCTTGGTGTTCTTCGACGGTATGAGATGGTAAACCAGAACCTGGTGAAGAACAATGCCCACCTGGCCTGGCGCTGAGCCTCTTGGCCCCCTGAATGTAGGCTAGGTTCTTGTGGTCAGTTCATACGGCGAGCTTGTCCGCTAGCAGCTCACGGTTCCCCACGTCGTCATTTCGCTCCGCCGGGGACAGCCGACGGGAGAAAAACCGTCCGTGAGGAACCGCTGGGACATGATTGCTCCCACTGCAACATCTGAAGCATCCACCTCCACAATGAACGTCAGGGACGGATCAGGATGCCCGAGGACCGGGGCCGATGTAATGCGATGCTTTAGCGCATCAAATGCTTTCCCCGCTTCCGGTGTCCAGGCGAAGGAGCGTACGCTCGTCTGGGTGAGGGCTGTCAGGGGAGCAGCTAGGGAGCTAAAATTGCCAATAAATCACCTATAAAAATTAGCGAACCCTAAAAACTGTTGTAGTTGCTTGAGGGATGAGGGCTGGGGCCAATCCAGTACCGCGCTGACCTTGGCTGGCTCCATCCGTAGGTCTCCCTGGGTGACGATGAACCCCAGGAAGGACACTGTCTCAGTGTGGAACAACGCTTTCCGTCTTGACGTAGACTGGGACGAAAGGTTGAGGACATGACGAACGTGCATTGGTGTTAACGCTGTCCCTCGAAAACTGAAGAAGGGATCGTCGACGTTTCAACGTGGCCTGTGAGTAGAGGCCCTGGCATCATCTACAACTCCTCCCCCAGATCCCATTCCCCGGAAGCAACCTGGCACCGGGCAGCCAACGGGGACCTGGGAGGTGACTGGTAGTGGTCTGGGACTGTGGTTGGGCTGGTGTCGGGGAGACCAAGGAACGGTACGGGCGAGCTCCTCCAGGATGAGCCGCCCCATGGACCGGTCTATCTGGGGTTGTGGACAGCCAGGGTGGCCGAGGATGAGGGGACCTCCGGAAGCTCCCAATGCAAATGATCCGACTATGGCACCCCGCACCACCCGGAAACCTTGGGCAGGCACGCGTCCATCAGGTTTCCCGTGGCCCTACAATCCCCGTGCATATGCATGTGGCGGCGGGCACGACCCTGACGGACGGGGAGAAAAGTCTGGGAGTCTCTGGAGTTGACCCCGCCGATACTAGCGAGCCCTCCCGTTTTCCCGTCTTCTCCGGGCTGATAAGGGGATGCAGAGGCACACCTTGCATCATGCCTCTCTCGTGCGCCCTCTCACAATGCCGATTGTCTACGAGGTCGACGAGGCTGTCCAGTCGCTGAGACAGCTCCCTGAAGGAGAGTTCGTCCTTCATCCCCTCCGATAGCCCCTGGGTGTAAAGGCCTCCTCCCATCCTGCCTCTCGAGCCCAGGTACGGAACTCCACGGAGTAGTCCGCCGCCGAACAGTCACCCTGCCGACAGGCCGTGAGCCGCACCTATAAAAGGTGTATGCAGGCAAGAATGTGGTAATAATGGGCCTGTTTGTAAGAGGGTCATATAAACATTACCCAATTATTATTTTTTTTACAGGCAAAATACTGTAAATCCTATGTGAAAGCCATATTAGTATACCCAAGTGTCTGCTATTGAAGTGAATAAAAGTAAAAATGTTCAGATAAATTGTTGTGTTTAAACCTGTTGTCAGTTGTGTAACATTGTCAATTAAATATTCAGGCTAGCTTACAGCTGGCAATCATTGGGGACATCCAGTACCTGAAACAGGAAGATGGAGGACTAAGGGAAATCAATATTTCACCGGCAACAGTAATCTCTCTTCAACGACTTAAAATAACACATCAAATTGAGTGTTGCTCTGGTGAGTGCTTGACAAAACACACCCCTGAGAACCCTGTGCCATGTCATCAATCCACAGACATCTGCTGAGCCAAGCAGTATGTCCTCCAGCCATCTAAACCAGTGGGCCTACAGAGAAATGTTTGAGGATTCCAGTTGTCAGATTATCAGGATAACACAGAGGCTTTACAGTAGTTTAATGATTATGGATGAACTGTTCTTGCATTTTGCATGATTCATGTTTGTTGAATTATCTACAGAACCTGTTAGCCATGGAGTGGTTATTTCAGTACACATCAGTACGTTACATTGTGTAGTCTGTCAACAACCCCTAATCACGGTCACAAATCATGGTTTGATAATAACATTCAGTTCACTCTTTTACTTATTTTTTACCAATGGGGATTATGAGTTTTTCCTATCAGCCAAATTGAAATGTGTACAGCGAGCTCAGGGGAACATTGTTCTGTAAGCAGGGGTTGCCAGGCCTTAAGCTCCAGACAGAGATAACACCTGTCTATTTCTGAGTGCCTCCTGGAATGAATTGCATCTGTTTGGGTTAAACCAGTCTTGCAGCAAGATAAAATCAACTGTACATACAAATAAATACGCTTTAAGAGGATACGTATACCGGAAATTGTTTTCGAGAAATGCAATGGCATCTGTAAAACATCGGTAGTTTATTTGTATGCATGTAAAGTAAGCAGGTCCGGCGTTATGGGCAGGCCCGCCCGCACCTCCTTGCCTGTCGAAATAAAATATTTAAATATTGATCATTTATTTGACTGAGACGGGTGCCTACAGAAAGATGCATCAATCTCAGTTAAAGCATCCGAGCGAGCGTAACAGCGCTCCTCTGTCTCAATATGTATAGCACAGGAGGTTGGTGGCACCTTAATTGGGGAGAACGGCTTAGTGGTAACGGCTGGAGCGGAATCAGTGGAATGGTATCCATGTGTTTGATGCCATTCCATATGCTCCGTTCCAGCCGTTATTATGAGCCATCCTCCCCTCAGCAGCGTCCACTGACGTATAGACCATGTCTCTGATGCTGTCTGGACCAAAAGACTATGGCATGTCATACTATAGACCCCTTTCTGTGTTTGCAAACATTGCAGCCGGAGGGCGATGCGCGCAAGATGGTGGCAGAACAAGGGGGAGTTCTTATAGAACAGCAGCATAAAAAAAGTAAATATTTACATGTTACTGATGAGTGCATTTCACACTACTTTTGAATTATAATTGGATTTTAAGGCTCATATGAATGTTCTGCTTAATATAATGTTTGTGTCATCATCGAAAATCAACTGCATTATACTTTTAAAAAACATTTCAACTTCAACCAGTAAAATTGCTCTTTGGCTAGCTTTTGCTACAGACTATATCAATGAGCATTAGCAATCTAGCGAACAACTGCTACATCCAAAATAGTTATTTTGCAAAGATCACAACCAAATATAATTTTAGCGACTGTTCAAGCAAGAATCAAAACAGCGTAAGCGTGAGAACCCAACATTTTATTTTGTTTAGAAGTAATAAATATGTAAATCTAGGCTATGTTGAATGGGTGCAGATGGCGATGGCTTTCTTACCACTGCCAAGAGTTGCGCGCATCTGTGTGTGACATCAGTGTGTCATGTACTGGAAAAGGGTCTATTTCTGTCCAGACAGCATCAGATACATAGGCTACATATAGAGGGGCGCTGTTTCGCTCACTCAGATTATTTCTAAGGTGAGATAGTTTCAGCAGGGAGGTAGAGGTGAAGCGAGAGGGCTCTTTCTCGACAAAATCTGGCCAGAATAAGCCCAATGCGTTTCTATAAGCATAATATGCAGACCTAAGCTTGTCTCCTGCCTTCCCACCTTTAGGACAAAGACTCCCATTGTTAGGGCATCTCGTCATTATATACAGATCTCTGGTTTCAGCGTCTTGCAAATTGTAAAGGAAAGTTGGCAGGTGCAATGTTAGGATGCTAGATTCCCCTAAAGTAAATTGAGGTTTGGCCAAAATTATAGGCTAAAATTACTCCTGTCTAAATAAAATCATTCAAAATTATTCACCAGGGAGCATGACTTAGCCAAAGAGGATCATTAGCTTCTTTAAAAAAAGAATAGCTGTGGATTGTTTCAAATCACAAGTGTGTAGGCCTATGCCTATTTGGGAAGCCTGCAATTTGGGTAGTGCACATGTTGCAATAAGTCTAGCTGATTGAGATGCGGCTGTCAGTGATAAGCATCTAAAATAGGTGTGAAGATAATTGTCACGTCTCCTCCCGTTGCTCCCCTCCGGCGCTCTGATTCGCCGGTCTACTGAGCCACCAGTCTGAGCGCAGCACCTCGGCAACACCGGAATGGAAACCCAATGCACCCTAATCACCTCCAGCGCACCTGCACCTCATCATCTCATCACCACCCCTATTTAGCCCTGGACTGTTCTGTATTGTGTTTTGTGTGATTGTTAAGCGTAGTGTCGTTTACGCTCTCTTTGTTATACTCTTTCTCATTGTTAAGTAAACCTTGACCATGTTAATTCCTGCATCTGCGTCCTGCCTCTTCGTATATCAGTACTTGTCACAATAATGTTTCTTGAGAATAATTTAAAATGTTGCAACAAGAAGAAGGGGAGGGGTGTGTGGCAAAGATATGGCTTGTCTCTCTCCAGAATGCATGCACTCAGATCTCCAGAATGCACTCAGCTGTCTCCCGCCAATTCATGCGCATTCATTGTTTAATTGTGTGAATTGTTTGCCCTTTGTTTATTTTTTATCAATTCCCCATTTTATATGTCACCAGTAGGCCTAGTAAAGGTGCTGTTAATCCCCCGTCATTTGGTTACATTAATTTATGTTAATTAATGTATTAATTACAGTCATTTAACATTCTTATTCTCGGAGTGGAAAGGTTGTTTGCGGAAATCACAACCTGCTACACTTGTGAGAAACAAGTTTTGGTTTATTTCATGACCATTACGAGTTTAGTAAATTGTTTCATTGTCTTTTGTTTGGAGTGCTCCATGTGGGCAATGAGCATGTGTCTGGTTTCTCTTTCCTGATACGTTGAGGGAGCGCGCCTGAGCACACACAGAAGTAAGCCTACCTGGGCTGCTGCATGTAAAAATAGGAAAGTTTAGCTCATGTCTGATTTTTGATTGTCATAACTCACCTTGCCCACCACTAATAACCTGAGATTCTCAGACATTTTCTTCACCTCACAAAGTAAGTCAACCAAGTATTATTATTATTTATTTTTTTTACATCCATTGCGAATGATAGCTCCTCAGTATTTGAAAAATCTTTCCAACACTCCCGGCCTCAATTATCATCAAACCTCAGTGTGAAAGAGCAAAATATCAAGATCTGATGATCCCAAATATCCAGTGGAAACGTCATAAAAAAACATCTGTCTGTCCGGAGCTCACTGGCGCAGGAAACTCTGAGGGCCCGGAATAGGCTAGTCGATATAATGTTGCAAGTTTGCTAGAGACAGCTTCCGGCCTACCCAGTTGATGATTTGAAACAATGTTGCACTTCACTAGCAATAGCTCAAGTCAAGACAGATAGAAAGGGAGGCAGACAGGCATAGTAGAGAGATGAATGTGAAATATTTTCTGTTTTTATTTTTCTGTGTTTTGCTTAGTTGACGATGAAGTTTAAGGCTATCTCTAAGTTCTATGCACTCATTTCTTCAGCTGCCAATGGATCACAGTGTATCAATGTGTCCATATGGCTTTTAGATTTTTATCGTTTTACTTCAGATTTTTATGATTAACCACGTGACAATGATTTTGAGAAACTAAATCGTTATTATTGAAATGAAACTGTTCCACGAAAGTGTGCATATAAAAATAATCATAACAGGCAAGCAGATCGGTAGAAATGGTAGGATAAATTGTAAGCTTCCCCAAACTTGAAACTCACGAGCTGCTTATGGTGTTTACTATATCACCTATAAAAATAAATAGTGAACACGCAAGCCCGTGCACACATAGTAGGTCCTGTGAAAAAATTTGCCCGCCTATGGAAATCAAAAGCCTGTCCAACTGATTTGTTCTGGTGCTGGCCCTGACAGTAAATAGGCCTACATAGCAAAAAATTAAGAAACTTGATTTACACCCAAACTAATAGGTGTTTAATCTGCCTTCAGAATAGGACTTGGTTAATCAATTTGTTGGAATCTCTTTTAAGGGAAACAATTGTTGAGGGAATCTGGTTAATTTGATACGTTCAGTGGGTTACCAAATGTCATGCCTTTAAGGGTTATGTTTAGCCTGTTTCAATCATTGAAAGCTGGGTATCACAGTACAACTTCAGCATGCCAAATATATAATTTGATACATTTGTGCAATGATTCTAGGCATGGACAAAATGACCCATAAGGATGCTTGTTCTGTAAAACATGGCCTAGAACTGGAACTCATTATTTATTCATGTTGATGTTGCTACACAATCAAATAGGTATGAGTGGGATTGCCAGAATACACTCTGTGTGGCTTGTCCCCTCAAGGGGTCAAAGTGATCAAATTCAGTTACCCACAGTGGGAGAAACACAGAGAATCACTC